TGCTGAGCTGCCCAAGCTGACCACCAAATAGCTAAGCTTACCTATGTGTGCCACTGAAGGCAGCTGGTTTATTTTTTTATTTTTTATTAAAAGGAGTATTTGTCCCTGTATTGATGTTTACTTTTTCTTTATTGAATTGCCTTCCATACAGAGCTTGGAGGACTCCTGAAGTATGTTCGACCCTTCTTGAATTCCATCAGTAAGGCTAAAGCTGCCCGTCTGGTCCGATCCCTTCTTGATCTGTTTCTTGATATGGAAGCAGCTACAGGGCAGGAGGTAAGCTATGTGAATAGCAGTAAATGATATGGAAAAAAAGTCTGTGTCAATGAGAGAAATGACTGCTTCTTTATATGGACTGTGTGGACGTGATAGCTGGGAGGATGCTGAGGACTTATTATGTCAGTTTCTCTTTGTTACAGGACACTTGATACTTTGGGTCTGTTCCATGCTTTGCTTTGTAAGTGGAGATTGTCAGTGGTCCCTGGAATCCTCATTACATCAGGGTCACAAACTGATTCTTGTCTTTGAGGTATTGTATTGCCACACCTTTGTAATGTTTCCTGTGCCTGTGGTACCTTTCATCTTGTGTCACAAAGCTCTTCATGAGCACTAATTAAATCTTGTGGCATTCTTTAGCATGTGTTTTTACTGCCTACAAGCCGCTATTGAGGGCTGATCATCTTATCTGTTGTGTCTTGTGTGTGGAAGTGACCCTAGTGTTTGTACATGATCTTTACAAGTTCAAGCTAGACCTTGAGCTATACAGAATAGCACATCTTTAGAATCCCTGAGCTTTTTCTGCCTTTGCAAACATGTATTTTGTGTAATTCAGAAGGAGACACACAAAAAATTAAAAATTCTGTAAAGAATGGCAGATTGAAGAATATTTTACAGATTCTTGAATCTGTAGTAAGAATATAGTTGTTAAAAAAAAAAAAGAACATAGTTGTTGATCAGTACTTATTGAGTGCCTGCTATGTGTTAGGTAATAGTACAAGTAGTAGGAATACTGTTACAAAACCACAGTTACTAGATGGGCATGGTGGTGCATGCCTGTAATCCCAGCACTCAGGAGGTTGAGGCAGGAGGATCATTGAGTTCAAGATTAGCCTGAATGACAAATCGACATTCTGCCTCATCCCCACTAAAAGATAATATTTAGATAGCTGCTCTTTGAACCAGAATATTAGGATCATATTTGTGAGTGAAAGAAAAAGTGATTTTTATGTGGAGTATTAGTCATTTTTGTTTTGTTTTTTGAGATAGAATTCACTATGGAATAGGGCCTATGTATACAGGCCTGGACCTCACAGTGAGTGACCTTCTGCTGTAGCATCTCTTGCTGGAATCATAGGTGTGCCCTACCACACCTGGGAGGCATTTGTCCTATCCAGCCTTTTTTAAAAAATTGTACTTTGTATTCATGAACGTGGTGCCATCTTTTGATTGAAGTAGGACACTTTAAAATAGGCAGACCAATTAATGCTAGTTTGAAACTAATAAATGTTACTTGGAATTTTTTAGAAAAAATTAATTATCAAAGGGCTGGCCAGATAGTTCAGCGGATTACAGCACCTGCTTAGGCATACTTGGGCAGGGGGTTTGATCCCCAGCCTGCTGAGCCAGCCCTGCCTCTTGGGTGCGCTGAGACGGTGATTGAGACTGGGTGTGGTGGCACAGGTGGCACAAGCCTATAATCCCAGCACTTGGGAGGCTGAAAAACAGAAAGGATCACTACAGGTCTGATCTGTGTAGTGAGACCCTGTAGACCCTGTACTAAAATACATTAAACAATAATAACAAAAGAAAAATTAATTATCTAAGCTGTTCCTGTGCATAGTGCAGTTTCTGGATTTTGTTCCCTTCCATAACAAGAAGCTAATTTCAGTGGGTAGAACTGAC